TTTGTGTGAGCTCGGCGTGTGTATGCAGCTTGTGGGGTGCGTGGCTGTGACGGAGGAGCTACAGCCGGGAGTAAGAGAAACTTTAGCGGAGATAAGAGGAGTGGGAATTCGGCAGATGTTCCTTGTCAGTGGCGATAAGCACGCAGCCCTCGCGACAGCGAGGCACTGTGGGCTACTACCATCCTTTGACTGGAGTTGTTTAAGCAAGTGTGGAACGCCAGAAACTACTCGCTACGTTCGCCCGCTAGGGGAGATGAGTCATCATCGGTGCGGGCCGGTATCGAACAGTGGTGCCCCCGCCGTCACAGTAACCAGGGGTGACCACTGTCCGAGTGACCAGGAGGAGAGCAGCGACCCAGCCAAAGCTGCGCCGTGTCGCCGTTGCTATGACGAGAGCCATTCTGTCAGCGTGCAGCATACCAGTGAAGACCATACAGGCTCACCTCGCATGTTGTATCCTGGGTGTATTCATGGGCTCGTGACGAACATCTCAGCATCCATATCCCACTGGGCTGTAGCTGACGCCCAAATTTTATTGCAGCGCTGCGTGACCGAACTGGCCTACTATGCGCTCAAGGATCGCCGTCGCCTTCAGAGTCCTTCTGCGTCAATATGGGCGTGTGAATGCGGGACTTCGGTGCCACGGCGCCGCCTGCTGAGGATGACGAGCCGCCGGCTGTCGTTAGCAGGCGGAGAAGGGAGACGTGCGGGTGGAAGTTTTTTGCAGCGTAGCTACAGCCGAACGAAGGGTCAAGCTAAAAAAACAAAATGCGTGAGCGTTCATCAAGGAGAGACCCAGAAAGAAAATATGGGGCCAGGGCGTCGTATGCTTCAGCAGAGGAGCGAGGTCCAAGCTAAAGAGGAATATACCGTGAGCCTCTCGTCTCTGCCTCTCCGGAGAAAGCTCCGCGTTGGCCGGTGTTTTCTTCGTGTCTTTGAAGACATGTGGAGCCAGTCAAGAGAGCACGGACAGGGCATTTGTCTCTTGCTGGATGCAGCGTCGCTCTCCTTTTTCTTTTCACACAAGTTACTCCAGGTGCGTCGCTGGCTGCAGTTGTTGCNGATGCAGCGTCGCTCTCCTTTTTCTTTTCACACAAGTTACTCCAGGTGCGTCGCTGGCTGCAGTTGTTGCCTGTGACACCGCGACATGGTTAGAAAACTCCTAGGTGATACTGATGCTGAGTGGCAGTTAGGTCTCGTTGCTCCATATGTTTTGCCTGGCTTGCAGGGGCTGTTCGTGTATGCCATCTGTCGTGCGGATATCAGTGTCTGCGCGGAAATCCGCGGACAGCTTAAGCAGCAGCTTGTGGCGGGCATCAAAAAGTCTCTGAAGCCACGACCAGTTATCATCGCAGCTGGCAGCAGTGCGGAGGATGCAGCGATGATGCAGGAGGCCACAGTTGGTATCATGGTGCTGTCTCCGTCGGCGCACGAAGAGGTACCAACGAACGAGCTAAGATGGCTACCGCCACCTGAGGCGGATCAGGGGACTTTTGGGGATGGTGGGGAGAGGCTCCCCGTACTTCGGCAGCTTAGTAGGACTTTCCTGGATAGTGCAAGGAGGACATACCACGCTCTACTACCACTGCTACCTGAGCATGAACCTGCTGCGGAGAGAGGGAAGTCTCTACCCTCACCAGGGCCCGCGGAGGGTCGGCTTGGGTCGAAAGGACGGATGGATTCTATAGAGCTGGGGTTTGCGGGTCTTACCAAACAAGGGTCTCACCTGCAGCAGCAGCAGGACATGACATTAGA